TCACTTGTTAAGGTTTTAACCTTAGCTTTTAGATTTTCATTGACAAGTCTCAATTCATATAGATTTTTGGTAGAATCCCGAAGGTCATCTATAAGTTTTTTCTCTGTCTATCTCAAGTTCATTAACCTTCTTCAATACGACTTTATTGTCTTTCTTTATCTTAAGACTGTCATCAAATAAATTTTGACAGGCCTCACAAATCTCATCCTTCTCTTCAGAATCTTCCTCAGTTTGCCCTCTACTATCTACTTCATCAACCTTCTCACTGTCCTTATCAGATTCACTTTTAATTCTAGTAGTGAAAGCCATAAACTTCCTAATGTCCTCTGTGTAGACATCTTACTTTGATTATCCAAGCTAGACTTGTCGTCAGTGAGAGTAGCATTCATAGCTTTACCTTGATTTCTCTTACCATTAGGGTATTTACTTCTATAGTGGCCAAACCCTTGACATTTATGACATCTCACATACTTAGATATCTTTTTAGACTAATCGGAATCACGTCTATGTCTCTCTTTAGTCTTCTTCTTATTTCTAGATATTTTTTGAAAATTCTTTACAAAGTAGAAATTTCCTCTTTATTAGGTGATTCCAAATCAGACGAATCATACTTTTCTTCCCTAACAATGTTCAAGGCTATAGACTTGTTCTTCTTAGGTTGAGATATGGCGAGTTCATAAAGATTCAACCAATTCTTCAATCTTAATAGCATTTAGATTCTTGCTCTTTTCGATAGCCGTAACTGTAGGTCTAAATCTTTCAGGTAATGATCTCGGGATTTTTTTGACAATATTAGACTCGGGAATTCTCTCACTTAGGTTAAAACAAGAGTTCACTATGCATTCAGCTTTACATAGAATTCATCGAACGATTTATCGTCTTTCATTCTAATTTCTTCAAGTCTAGTGGTTAACATCTGTAGTTTGAAATTTTTAACGGTTTTGGTTCCTTCATGTATGGTCTCTAAAATATCCCAAACTTCTTTCGTAATTTCACATATCGACACTCTTCAAAACTCTTCAACACACACAGCCATAAATAGGGCATGAAGCCCTTTACTATTCCAGTTGCACTCAACTAGTTTATCCTTGGTCCAATGAGAAATGTTCATGGAGATAACAACACATGAAACAGTAGAGGAAGGGGGAGGTCTAACCATTTTGTACACTAACCAAAATTGCTCATCTAGTGACTCAAGGAATGTTCTCATTCTAAATGAGGCTTTGATACCACTTGAAATAACGGAGTTCGACCCAACTAACACCTAGAGGGATATTTACCAATTAATAAATGCAACAAGATAGTTATTAATTAATCCAGATGAATTCACATGCACAATTAACCTATGTTGAATTACTGCAGTTAATATATTACTGAAAAATAAATAATACTTGAAAATTATTGACGGAGAAAATCCGTAACTGGGTAAAAACTCCGGGCCAAACCAGTAAAAATCAACTATAAACGAATCAACTTACAGTAAAGTCAGACTCGACTAACTCTAGTACTTTTTGACGCCCTAACTGTAATCATCAAAGCCCTCCTGGATTACGTGTTCCTACACCAACTTTCAACCTTCTGAATTCTTCTATCTCCTATGGATCAATGAGAATTTCTTGTTCTCCAACAACCGAAACTTCGGTCTGATTGATGTTATAGAAGTATAAGTTTAGTTTATGTGAAGTTGATATTTTTCAATGCTATGAAGAAAGCAAAATGAATGTTGAACTAATAGTATGATATGTAGGAAGTAATCTCTAGTTTCTCTCAATGTTCAACCTACTTTTTTTGAATGGAGGCGTGGATATATTGAGTGCAGAGGTTTTGAGTAGTATGGACCGAATAAAAACTTTGAAAAATACGAATTAGGTTTTATCGGGATACAATGTCGCTCGAGTGACAACTAAGGCCAGCGACTGTATGTCGCTCGAGTGAGGTCCAGGTGACAGGTTGGTGACGCAGCTTCTATTTTTATCGTTTGAGCATCGCTGGATAAAATGCTAACAAAATTGCGACGACTCTTTTCTCCTCATACCATACTCGAACCCTAGTATTTCTAACTCACCTATATAAATTACCACTTGACACTTTGACTTTTAAAAACTCTTTTTCAACAATAGTTTTGTCAGAAAATTGTCAACATCTTTAAAACCTAGCACAACTTATAGAGATTGAACTATTCATCTTAACAACATTGACATTTTACAATTGAATTTATGAGCAACTTTAACCAGTATATTATATATCCAATTTGGAGAATAGACATGTCGTATGAGATAATCCATTGATCATCTAATTTTGTGCATGTTTGACACTCTGTAATCCATTGATCATCTAATGTCGTATGAGATAATCCAAAACTTTTTTTATACTTATTAATCACACATTTTCTAAAAATCACTATTAAAAACTTTTTTTTTTTTTTACAAAAATGGTTGTCGAATAGGCTCTTTATCAAAAAGGGCAATTAGCAAAAAACTTTCACATCATTTTTACTCATTGTGCAAATCGTTCATATTATTTCAAATTTGATATTTGCACCCTGATTTCAACATTTTTTTGTGGAGTTGATTATTTTCGTCTCATTCCATCAGTTTTTTTCAATCAAAATAGATAACGCAAAATGTTCATATCGTTTGCCTTCATTACGTAATTCAACCCTTGTTTGAGCCCCATTTTGAAAGAATAAATGCATTTTTGAATAGTGGTTTCGGAAAATGTGTGGTTAAAATGAAAAAAATATTTTTGATTTACGTATAAAAAAATGTGACTAAAAATGAGTTTTGAAAAAATTAATTTTTGATAAAATGGGATTCAAACAAGGGCTCAATTTTGATATGTGGGCCTCAAATCAACATTTCTTTGCACAAAAAGTACTCACTGTATATTTTTTCATTAAAAAAATTATAAAATGACTAAATTTTCATATCATCTCTTTAAATAAACAAATCGAAAATAAAGAATGTATAAAGTAGGGGCAAGGCAAAAGTACTACATTGATATTTGTGCAAGGCAAAAATTTGTCTACTGCCCTTAAATGTGTGCATGTATCTTGTTAAATTCAAAAGGGAATGCATTTAATGGTCATCTAATCAAAGTAAAAGCCATACCAACACCCTCTTACAAGTTTTAATCAAATATGTAAAACGTGTAGTAGTGTCCGTGTACTGTGTACACATAAATACACTTATATAACTGTCTCTCTTTCCCCGTCTACTAAATGGATTGGAAATGTTTCAAAAAAAGTTAGCTTACCATGTGTTAAAAGTTTAAGTCCCTTTTATATCTCTAAAGATAGAGTGGAGGAAAGTTTTGTTGGGTTCTTAGGAACTATTCCTTAATTTGAACAAGATGTTATAATACACGTACATAGCTAGTCATGATCTAAAAGATGAGCATGTTCGATTTAAGTATTTTTTTTCTTCCTGAAAATGAAAAATAATTCCATGACACAATACTTTTCTGTAAAGCCCATGTTTGGTTTAGATAAAAATTTAGATTTTTAGCATATTTTAATAAAAGTTGATGAAATATGTGATTGAAAAGTTGTGTATCTCATGAAACGTGTGGTTAATTGTTTGACTTTGACTTAGATTTCTATTTTTCCTTGGGAACCAAAAAGGGGCTAAATAATTTCTTTTTCGGCTACAATTTTGTGTAACCTCAATTACTATGCCCCTATTTAATTTAGATAAAAAAAATAGATTTTTAATAAATTTTGAGAAGTTGATGGAATGTGTGGGTGAATGGTTATGAATTCCATAAAATGTGTTGTTATAATTAATTATTGCATAGATTCTAATATAACTTTTTAGTTGAATTGGACAAGGGTTATATCTATATATTTGTGTAACCTCAATTATTATATCTATATATTTTACCCTCATCTCATTCCTTTGGTAGAATAATGCTACTTGGCCAAGGTGAAAGACAGAAATTGGGTGATGGGGTGGGTTGGCGCAACAATTGGTTAGGTTTTTTCTTCAAATTGTCATATCATATGTCGACACAAGTCTTCATATTTTTTAACCTGTCATTGAGCCTGTTTGTGTAGCATTTTTGTTCTTTGGTATATATTGGATTGGACATGAATCCAATAGTTGTAGCGCAATAAACCTAGCTACATTAGTAAGCCAAAAGCATAAATGTCCTTATTATATTCTCTCTCTCAGTTCTAACCAAATGACACTACCATGCACCAACCCCAAGTCTCTCCTCAGTATCCTTTTTAAAGTCACGAGATTCTCTGTTGCTCAATCTTGTTTTTTAGAGAGAGAGGCAGAGAGAGAGAGATGTTTCCAGAGAGAGTAGCAGAAAAAAACTGAGAGAGAACTTTCAAGCACTCCTTTCTTCAACATCACTCAAACTATCCTCTACACTTCAGCCTCAAACTGAAGTCTTATAATATTCCAATCTTTAGTTATCTCCAATCTAAAAATTGTTTAATCCCCTCATATTTTTCTGTCTGTCTTTCTTTGTCTTGTACCATGTAGGTCTCACCCCACAATTCCACAATCGGCTTCTCAATTGCTTCTTTTATCTCCTTGTTCTTTTTACTCTTTTTTACCTCTATAACTTTATTTTTGTTGTTTTGTTTTTCAGGAGATCAGAAGGAAATCCATTAGACCTCAACAACATACCTGAAGATTACTTGAAAGATGGCAAACAGGTCCTTCAGGACAGCTCTTCATCTTCTGGTACATCACTTTGTCTCGTGTCTCCCCAGCTAAAGATGCAATAAAAGTAAACTTAGCCCGTCTCTCGATGGGTGTTCTGAGTGTCATAACTGATCTTATAAACCAGAAAAGACAGAAACCCGCTTCTTTATACCAAATTAGTTGGTTTTAAAACTTTAGAAATAACATTAAAGGGTGGTTTTAATTTTCTGGTTAGTGCATCTTGTTGAGAGTTTTTCATTTCTTGACATTTTTTTCTTGGTTTTTGGACTTGTAAAACAAAACCCTAGACAGAAAAAGAGAAGCCCAGCAAAAATTGTAGGTTGTAATACTGATTCTTCATCAGGGAAATTAGGGGTTTGGGTTTAGATATAAGATTAGTCTCACAAAATGCTTTGATTGGAATATTATGGAACAGTGTACAGGACAAACAAAAGCAGTACTACGGATGAAAAGGATGAGATTGGGAAGGTCTATGAGTGTAGGTTTTGTTCAGTGAAGTTCTGCAAGTCTCAAGCTCTTGGGGGACACATGAACCGCCACCGCCAAGGTAAGTCATTTCAATATATTCCCTTTCACTATTTAAAATTTTTCTTAAATTTACATAAAATAAACAACCCTTTTACTATAAAATAATGACGAAAAGTATGACTTAAAAGGGTATTAAATCTTTGAACATG